CACAAAATTATTTTATATATTTGATTAATAAATTTCAAGATGTATTCACAGTAATCATTTTCCATTTTGTTTACCTTATGTTCTCATAGACGTCATTGATTATACTCTGGATGTTGACTTTATTTGTCAAGAGGATTCTGACATTTCTTAGTTAATACTTAATGTATTATTCAATATTGTCTTCTAGATATGATCAGACAACACCTTCAAGGGTCCAGCATATGGCAAGGTGAGTTTTATAACCTCAAATGTAGGTTAACTTAAGAAGTGATATTTGTTTACACGTATATTTTTTCTCATATGAGTTACTACATTTTAGGAGAAGGGTGGCGATGACCCTGATATGTCACCTACTGCTGCAGTGTAAGTTTAGGAAGCTTTATTTTGATCATTATTGGGAATGCATGATCTAGTATATAGTGTAATGTGGCTAAGTGTATTGGGACTGTATTCACTGTTTATGTATATTTTATTTAATACTTTCCTTTTTTCTTGCAGACGAAGCTCACCAGAGCGTATTGTGTAAGTTTAAAAATGAAAACATTGATACTTTTAAGTATTAGACTTAAAAGTCTAATCATGACATGGTACAATGGCTTCATATATAGACCAAATTCTTAGAACTCATAATATTGATTTACAGGTCCAGGGGCAGAAGTAGATCTCCATCTCCATCCCCAGTGCAACGACAAAAGTATGTATTATTGTAATGATTAATTAGTAAAATAAAAAAAGAGCAGGAGAATCATAGAGAATCTAAAATTATGATCAATGAGTAAAAGGACAGTATTATCCTGCACGTGTTAATATTCTTTTTGTAATAATTATATTGTCATGAGTTTTGTTCATTGAATGATCAAAGGTTAGAATGAAATGTCCATTTTATTTATTAAGATTAAAGAAAATATTGTTTATAATTATAGGTCCAGATCTGCATCCCCTGTTTTCCCAACTATAAGGTAAGTTTCAAAGTAAGATTTTTATTAACCTTGTTTGGTCATGTGCAAATTGTGTGCTGTCGCTCAGATAAAAATTATGGCAAGATCACAAGCAATTGATTTCTTTAATTGATTATACAATCCATTTAWATTTAAATTTAAGAGATTGTCAACATTCTTTTAAACTTTTGATTGAAATTGTATTTTTGCATTTGTTTTTGTTTTAGCACTCCTACTTCATCAATAAACAGACTTGGGTAAGTTTATTGYAGTTGTTTTTTACCATTATATTCATTTCAGCTTACTTTTCTTAGGAATACAGTAAAAAGATATTTTAAGTGATGTCACTGGGTTAATGATCTGTATTTCAACATTTTAGATTAATTTTTTCCCCTTTAAGTTCAGTAAATGATATCAATGACTTGTATCTTTAAGTATCTTTAAAGCAACACTTCAGAGATAATTAGTTTATTAGATTCCAAGTAATTCAAGAACATTACAACTTACGAATGCTTWTGTGTCGAATTACTTGAAATCATGAAGTTTGATTTTTATTTCAAAACCAGTAGTTATATAGTGCTGTTTAATCATACTTTTGAAAAGTTAATGATGTCATTAATTGTCAGCTTGTTTTAGATGGTACTAGAGGAAAAGGCAAAAAAAAGAAATTTGAGGACAAAATTCAATGAAGATATTTTACTTTATGTTGCAACACACATATAGATATAGAGACCTGAGGGAAATAATTTAAAGCAGAATTGCCCAATGCCATATTTTACATGTGGATGGAACTAAAACATTCTCTCTCTTTACACTGAGTACCAGAGGGTTTTTTCCCATTATGCAATAGGTTACTTACATTGAGTAGTGTGGTTACGTAAAACCCTGCTGCAATGCTGCATATTTGGGCAGGTTAACTCTTATATTAAGCTCTGCAGTGTATGTACATCAAATTAAAGTATGATAGCTACAGGTTATGGTTTCTATAANCTTCAATTTCCTTTTCATTTTCTAACTGTATAGCACGCTCTCGCAGTTTCGCTTGCCGTTTAGCTGCTTCAAGTTGAATTTCTGCTCTCTTGGCTGCCTTTCTTGCTTCGATGAGACTCCTGTTACTTGCTGTACTCGCCTTGCTCGGTCTCTTTGACTTGCCGTGCGATGAAACACGTTTACTTCGTATTGTACGAGGACTCGACGATTGCTTCGGTTCTGCAGTAGCTCCTTGCTCCTTCTGATTAGATGTGTCGACAGTTTCGGGAGTATTTAAAGTACCTTTACAATGTTCCGCTGCTAGTCTCTTTGCTTGAAGTCGTTCACTTCTTCGAACACCATCCGCCATGCTTTGACATAATATAAACGTTTGGTTTCTCTACTCTTGGATATCCGGCTCGAAGGACCAAATGTCAATTGAGAACATGGCGTCAACATAGTGACTTTAATACATACGTAAACATCGTGTTACATTCAGAATATAAATGAGAAAATAACAAAACTTTTCGTTTCACACACGTCCTCTCACACACTCTCGTCAAGCACATGTCCACACATCGATCACGTGACATGGCCCAGTCCAATACACACAGGTAGTCCATGACATAGACATGTCTTCTCTTACCTAAAGATGACAATGAACTTCGTGCTCGCTTTGCAGGGGTTTGCTTCGTCTATTAAGAAAATTGAACTTGATCAACAACCAATAAGCATCTTAGCAAAACATGCAAGCTCAATGGGGAATAAAATGCTCCAGATTGACTTAATAATATACTGTAAGTTGTGTTCTCTTCAGGTTTGAGTCCCAATACCAAACATTAGAAGATTAGCAACATGAGATGCTGCAATATGCAACATCAGTTAGTAATGAAGTAATCTTTCTTTCATGCACATAACACTCCAGCAACAAATKTCTTATACTATTACTCTGACATACCTCATAATCATAACCATCGGAAATCCTTCGGTTCTTCTCCTGTGCCCATTGTATAATATGTGAGCGTATAGCCTCTGGGTAAAACAAACAATAAATACTTCATATGCAATAGAATATACATGACTGTATATGATTTAGCAAATAAAAATAAAACATTGAATTTTCATTGTAGTTGTTAAATGGACACTGTCAATGGATGACATGGGCAGTAATAGTTCTCGATTTAATACATTGTTAAAAACAAATAAACTTGAATTTTAATGTCTTTGTCTCTTGATAAATGGAAACGATACATTTTAGAAAAGTGTATGATATAAAATCCATCAATAAAGTGTAAAAAAAAATTAAAATGAATGTTAGAAAGTTTTAAGCCAAGCACTGTGTTTTGATGTCTAACTATACATAGTTGGCTTAACATTAAGTTGCATATACATGTAAATACCTCTTCCAAATTCTATCTCTTGAATTGAACATGTCTCAGAAAGCGTTGATGATAACTCTTCCAATTTGAGACGATTTTCTTCATTTTGCTTGAAGTAAATTTTGTTATTTCCTGGCCATACTTTTTGAGCTTCTCTATTGATAACTGAGGTTCTACAAAGTATGAGGAAATCATTAATCTTAGGGAATTAGAATTGTATACAAAATGAAATCATGTTAATCTTGGATTTCTTAATTTATTACACATCGCCAAAACAGTCAGGGAATGAATCTATGTCGAGGCTGATATGACTAGGAAGAATGGCGAGCAATTTTAATGAAGCTTAATTCTAAAAACATGAAACATTGAATACTTTAGAAATCAATCTCTTGAGTTATGTCGCCATTGGCAGCTTGATAATAATAATTATTGATGTATTTACACCCTATAGAATCCATACACTCACTTTGTTTTGTAGCTATTTCTTTGTTTGGCAGACCAAGAATCTTTCATTTTTTTGGTAATTTTTTTGGGCCATTCTCTTTTTTCCTCATCCACTGTTGTTGTACTAGAAAGCTTTTGATCTTCTTCACCTACAAAAGGCATTCATTCGATCATTTCTGTTCATGACCATTCTATTCAATGCTATGAATTCATCAGCATAATTTAATAATTACTAATAATAAAAATATTTTTGAAGAACTTACACCCTCAAATTCAATGGCATTTTGAAAAATGAAAATTAACAATTCGCAGGCAGTTTTCCATTGTCTGTACTCTTATTGAAGTCTTTAACACACAGTCAATTCTGTTGAAAGCGCGCGCTAATTAGACAGCTATGTCATGTAAGATTACAACAAGTATTTCTACGACAGTTCGATATTAGCACGTGGTATTAGAGTGAAGGCATTGATCCTGTGAAATAAAAGTTAATAATTAAACTGTAATAGTCAAATAGACACAAAAGAAAACAATGGAATTATCGAGTAATAACATGTAATAGTCAAATATGTATTTCACGGGTTCATTGACTTCACTCTAAGACAGTGTTCCACTCTGTTTTGGTGTTCATAGATCTTCCTTCTCTCTTTATCCTCACCGATTCTGTTATCTGYCGTAGCATTGGGTCTTGATTGTACGTTCCTGTGACATTCATTACAAAGTCTTGTAAGATACCTCCRTGTTTTTCAGAGCAGTGTCTCTTTAAGATCRAATGTTCCCTGGTGTTAGAGTCGACACTTCTTACATGCTCTCTTCCTCTTGTAAACGCGTTTCTTGATGTTTCACCTATATATTTATCTTTACATGACTTGCATTCGATTTCGTATGTTATACCTTGCGTTCTACACGGTCCAGTACCTCCAGTCCGACATACCAGGCACTCTTCTTCCTCACATTCTTTCTTCCTAAA